GGGAAAGAGCCAGACCACCTGGCAGAGCTGGGACCTGCCTGTTAACCTGTGAGAAACAGAGATCTCTGAAATGAGCACAAAGGATGAGGCTTTTTAACATGATTCCCATGTGGTTGTGAAGGAGCAAATTGGTGACTTAAGCCACACGTACGTGTTTTATGTTAGTTAAAATTCTGCGATATAATGTTTATACTATTCCTCTGAGGTTTTAAATCACTTCAGCATACATGAAGCTCAATGTGGAAGTGTGTGTGAGAGCACAGAACTTGATTTCAGTGCTGCAGAGGGACTCCAGATGGGACTGAGGTGGTCAAAATCTATGTCTGCTAAAAACATGGGGTGCTTTTTAAAATGATCTACACCAACTATAATATGGATTTCTTTGGATATATCATACTTGGGATATTACAGAAAGTCACATTACAGGAAAAGACTAAAGGTCCATTTCAAAAATCATCCAGTAAAATGACTTAAGCTCTATTTCGAAAAATACATTTGTCATCATTGAACTGATCATCTTAGTCTCTGTTTCTCCATCCCGCAATGATCCAGATGTTGACCAGAAAGTTTGTAAAAATTACAGGCTCAATTAGATAGACCTTCCCAAACATAATTGTAGATTTGGATGATTATACCCTGTTCGCTATAGACAGTTACAGTCTATGTCCCAGTCCACCCTGCCTCCGTCCCCCACGAGGGTCTCCAGCCAGAGTTGTCAATTCTTTGCCATCATCTCAGTGCCAGCTCAGTCAGTCTGTTAGTAGAAAGTTCCACAAAGGGTCTGCAGACACCCACCAGCCTTCGTCCCTTGTTCACCCCTGAGCATAGCTAGGAGGAACTGCACGGGCTCTTTTCTGTTGTGGATGGAATGGCTCTGGGTAACAGAGGTCCAGAAGTCCTGCCAGAGCAACCACCCTGTTGAAGGCTAGAAGCATTCATTCTGAGAGCAAAAAAGAACGCTGGTCTGACTGTCTTGTTGTATGACTAAGAGAACTAAGAGAGGTCATGTAATTGCTTTGCCACCTAATTGCGACAAGGACAGGGGATCTTGTGACACCCTCTTCCATTTCCACTCCATTCTGTCTTCTAAGAATCAGGTTGGCTTACTAAATACAATAGCCCTTGCTAGGGAACCAGCAGGTGGCGTGGTGGCTAAGGCACTGGACACTCCCACATGGCTGACTGCGGTTTGAGTCCCAAACCTGGCGGCTTGCTTTCTCACGCTCTCTCTCTCTCTCTCTCTCTCTCTCTCTCTCTCTCTCTCTCTCTCTCTCTCTCTCTGGTCAAATTAAAATAAATGAACAAATAAATAAAATTAAATAAAAAGTAATTCTTAAAAAAAAAAAAAAAAGCCCTTGCTAATGGTATTTTTGTTTTTCAAGAGGTTTTTGCTATAGGGCACATGCGCTCCCCAGAAAGATAGAGACAGACAGAAAGTGAGAAATCACCCCCCAGGGGGATGGCCACACCACAATCTCTTCTCCTCCATTCTCCTCTTGGGATCTTGGGCACACACACACATGCGCCCAGCGTGAGTTTAAGCCACCGGGTCCAGGACTCGTACCGCGCTTGACTACATGAGAGTCCAGCAACATAGCCATTACACTAACTGCTGGTCCCAGCCCTTGCTAATGTTACTGAGAATGTTAGAGGGTACACCACACTAGCAGGTGTGTGCCTCTACTGTGCTCTGTCTGCTCTTACATCATGTTGTGGCCCAGCACGTACTTGTCTCCAGGCTGGCCACTGTGGCAGGGAGAGTGCTGGATTGGAGTCTGTGTGCACCACTCACTGGCATTTGCTAAAATTCTTGGACCCTTTGTGCCTATTCCTTCATTTTCAACATAGGGATAAAAATTCTCCTGTTCCAGATGGCTACATGGATTAAATGGCACGTGGTAGATGTTCCTTTTCCTTTAGGAAGAAAATTTCGAGGTAGTTAAACAAAAGTCTTTAAAGGCATCAATCCCCTGCCTGTTCTTGCTTCAAACTAAAGAGAAAAGGTTTCCTGGGACCAGCAGATGGTATAATGGTTACAACACTGGACTCCCACATAGTCGGCCGTGGTTCGAGTCCTGGACCCAATAGCTTAAACCTCACACTGGGTGTGTGTGTTTACATTCCCAAAAATCCCAAGAGGAGAATGGAGAAGAGTTTGTGGCATGGCCATCCCACCAAGGGGTGACTTCTCACTTTCTGTCTCTCTGTCTCTCTCTAGTGAGTGCACACACACCCTACAGCAAAAATCTCTCTTAAAAAAATAAGAGAGCGGGACCAGCAGTTAGCATAATGGCTATGTCACTGGACTCCTATGTAGTCGACCACAGTTCAAGTCCCGGACCCGGTGACTTAAAACTCACGCCAGGTGCGTGTGCGTGCGTGCCCAAGATCCCAAGAAGAGAATGGAGGAGAAGGGATTGCAGCGTGGCCATCCCCCCGGGGGGTTATTTCTCGCTTTCTGTCTCTCTGTCTCGCTCTGTCTGGCTAGCGCACGCGCCCTATGGCTAAAACCTCTCAAAGAAAAAAAAAAGAGAGAGAGAGAGAAAAGATTCTTCTGTCAAAGCACTTATGTGTCCTTTCTCTTTTTAAGCTCTTACTGGAATCTTTCTAAACACTCACCTAACGCATTCATTGAGCACCAGTTGTGTGCCAGGCAGTCATAGGTGCTCGAGCCCTAGAGACAGAAGAAACAGAACGGCTTATCCTTCCAGAGTCTACCTCTTGTTCAGAACACAAGCAGTACTTAGAGAAATAACAGGTGAATGCCAGCATGCCTAAAGGGGGTAAGTGCACTGACAGGTGGAGACAGTGGGTGACTCCTCTAGATAAGGTGATGGGAGTGTCTCCTGCAGTCTGCCCCAGCGAAGGATGTTTCCGGTGGGAAACACGAACAAGGCAAAGGCCCCAAATCAGGCCCAGGCTTGCTGCATTGGAGGAGCGATGAACAGGCCAGCATTGCCAGAGCAGAACGAGCACCAGGAGGAGGATAGGAAATGAGCCCGAGGTGGCAGGAGCCAGACTCTGGTCAGCACTGGGGCCATGATAGACAATTCTGGCAGTACAAATACTGGGTGTGATGGAAACAATTGAGTGTAGAGTAGGAGGACCTATGGCCAGTTATATGTTCGAAGGAGTCACCCTAGCTTGTGTTACGAAGGATGGATTATTGAGGAGTAAGAGTAGAAGCAGGTGAGGTCGGCAGGTGGCATGGTGGTTAAGACACTGGACTTCTACCACGACTGAAGTCCCACACTTAGCCCCTTTTCCCTTCTCTCGCTGGTCAAATTAAATAAGAATAATGATAAATAAAATTAAATACCCTTAAGAAAGAGTAGAAGCAAGGACATCAAGTGGAAGGTGGTTTATGGGAGTCCAGGCAAAAAAGGATGGCTGCTGAGGCTAGCAGGTGTCATAGTGGTTAAGGCACTGGCTTCCCAAATTACTGACCACTGTTCAAGTCCCAGACCTGGCGACCCCAGCGACTTGAAAATCATGCCAGATGTGTGTGCGTGTGCCCAAAATACCCCGAGGAAATGAAGGAGAAAGGATTATAGCATGGCCCTTTCCCTGGCAGGGGGGTTGATTTATCAATTTCCCTCTCTCTGTGTCTGGCAAGTGCACTGCACACCCTATGGCAAAAATCTTTTTAAAATAAATTAATTAGGGACCAGCAGTTAGCGTAATGGCTATGTCGCTGGACTCTCACGTAAGTTGATCGCGGTTCGAGTCCCGGACCCGGTGGCTTGAACTCACGCCGGGCGCGTGTGCATGCGTGCCCAAGATCCCGAGAGAAGAATGGAGAAGAAGGGATTGTGGTGTGGCCATCCCCCCTGGGGGGTGATTTCTCGCTTTCTATCTCTCTCTGTCTCTGTCTGTCTGGCGAGCGCACGTGCCCTATAGCAAGAAAACCTCTCAAAAAAAAAAAAAAAAGAATTAAAATAACAAAAGGAAGAAAGCAAGGATGGTGGCCATAGAGGAGGGATCAGCTTGTACAGATTGGTTCACAACCTGCTGAGACTTTTTTTATTTCTTTATGGAACCATTTATCTTTTCATATAGTTGTGGTACTTTTTATATTTTCAGATCTTGCCTTTTTGTTCACTACAGACTAAAAAATCATCCTTACTCAGTCAGTCATAAACGTCTTCATAAATAAGTAAGAACCAGCCAGTGATTAATTCTAAAAGAGGCTGTCTCTTGTTAACCCAAACTTAGTTTCTTAACCCAAACCACTGGCCTTTTTTTCAGTGAGCCCTTGGAGGCATACATCTATTTCGGCCCCGTGTACTATCAGAAACTGAAGCACATGGTGCTGGATAAAATGCACGCCCGGGCCCGGGGACCACGCGCTGTCCTTACCAGGTAAGAGAACATTTATCAAAAGGATTTGTGAATGCAGTCAAGTCTACCTTGCATTTTCTGGATAGAGCAATGAGCAGACTCAGTAAGTTTCTGTTTTTAGAGATTTCAAAATTTGGAATGCTGGGCATTAAAAAAGATTATTTAAGTATAATTAGCATAAAAAATAGCAGCCAGCTAAGAATCATTTCACAGGCATAAGAGCTAACCCACCATAGGTCTTACCAGTGGTCTTCTAAAGCAGCCGTTTCCTATTTCCTACTTAGCAAATACGGTCCCATTCACGAAGAGTCATGAGAGCAGGTGTGTATGTACATATATACCCAACACAGGGTGCACACACAGGGTGCACTGATGTGCACCCAGGTCCCAAGAAAACATACAATATGTAGTAGCCCAAACCACAATAGTCCTTTTCAAACCATTTCTATTATTGGGGCATAAGAAACCTATACTGACATGGTTATTCGAATAAGCTCCAGGAGACCAAGATCTGTGTGCGCCCCCATTCACCAGTGCATCCTCACGTCCAAAATCAATGTCTTGGGTGTTGATGAATGTGTAAACTAGTACATGAGAACTACATGGTCTTAGTCCTACTTTTTCCTGTGGGAGAAGCATAGTCTAGGGTGTGGTTCTCCACTGAGCAGTTTCCCTCCCAGAGGCATATGACAACGCCTGGAGACATTTTTGGATGACACAATGGGAGTGGGGAGAGAGCTACAGGCATCTTGTGGATAGAGGCCAGGGATGTTGCTGAACATTCTCAATGCACAGGACAAACTGCACACCCAGGACAAGAGGTTGCCCAGCTCACTGTATCAGTCATGCCGATGTTGGAGAACCCTAGGCTGGGAGGGAACCCAGGCCTCGTAGACAGGTAGGCATGGATGTGATCTCACAAGCCTGGGACAGATATTAGCGTCTCCCAGCTTCAGTTTCCTCCTGTATAAAGTAGAGATGACGATACCGACTTGACAGGGTAGTGGGTGTGGCCACGTGTTTGAATGCAGCACACACGCACTGCCTGTCCGTAGGAGATGCTCCATGAGTACCTGGGTCTCTCCCTGCAGTAACTGATCTCTGCTCAGTTGCCACCATACAGGAGGGGGTGGCAGACAGAGCAGCTAGGTTTGGGTGTGTTTGTTTGTTTGTTTGTTTAAACCCAGGGAGAAGTCTAGATGACTCAATCTCTTGACCACATAAAACTGAGCGAATACACATGTCAGTCGAAACAATGGGCATATGTGAGCTTGAAATTGCCGAAGGAAAAGAAGTCAAGATTTCCAAGACAGTAATGACCCCAGCAATGAGACCCTGCTGGGTTAGGTGTGTTCCTCCCCTAACTGCTGTCCCCTCCTAAACTTCCATTTTAGTTACAATATCCAAAAACTATTTCAGAGCAACATAAATGTCAAAGCAGTTATTTCCTATATTTTGCTTTGTTGTATAAAGGAAGTTATTACTCTGGTATTACTTTTGTGTCTTCCATGTGAAGACTGCCTAGAGTGCCTTTATCTGTAGTCAGTTATTCCAGTCGGTTAAAATCCCAGCATTGGATTCTGCCCACATGTGCTCTACTTACCTTCACCCTGTTTGGTGACCTCAGTGGAGGGCACATCTACCCAAGGAGGCTCCACCAGCAGATAAAAATGTATACTTGTCACGCTCACTTAGAAAGTTTCCACTACACTGCATCCTCTTTGGCTCTTTTGTAAGTTTTTCATGCATAGATTTTCTCTTTAAAATTATTTATTTCTGGAATTTTCCATTAGATATATTTTGAGACTGTGGTCAACTACAGGTAACTGAAACTACAGAAAGAGAAACCATGAATAAGTGGTTATTATCCTAATAATGATAAGTGGTGATAACAGTAGTGCTAGCTCTGGTGTTTTATATATTATGTATCATAGAAGACTGAATGTATTATGTATCATAGAAGATTGCATAACTGTATGTTATTTTCATTTAACGATAACCACCAGTATTACATGTTTCTCATTTGAGGTCCTTTGGTATAGACATTCTTACACTTTACCAGTGAGCCTGAGAAGTGACTCTCAAGGTCATTGTCTAATAAATGATGTGTGCTCTAAAGCCTCATTCCGTGAGCCCTCATGATGGTGCCTCCACGTCTGTCTGATATCACACATTTGTGTCATAATTTGTTTCAAAGGCAGCCCACTGAAGGCCGATCTCGTGATGGTGGCTTGCGTCTTGGAGAAATGGAACGGGACTGTCTGATTGGCTATGGAGCCAGTATGCTTTTACTAGAAAGACTAATGATTTCAAGTGATGCCTTTGAGGTTGACGTCTGTGGCCAGTGTGGACTTCTGGGGTATTCCGGCTGGTGAGTGAATACCATATGTCTTTCTTAAATTGCAGCTCAAGAGTTGATCCTGAATCACATACTCCCCAACCTTGGCCTGTGATCTGACATACCCATGTGTGCGTTCCTGCCATCGGAGGTTCCATAATTACGTATTTTGTTTGTCTATATAAGGGTCTGCTCTCTACATAGTTTAAGTTCTAGGGAGTGCAGACTTTATCATCTTAATATTATCTAAAGTGCCTTTTAGAACACTCTTCACCTGTAAAAATCCTAGAAGATTCACTGTCACATATTAGAATTATGTTTGTTCAAGAGGTTCTTTAGGGAAGTGGTGTCAAATGCCCTGGTTTATAACTTCAGATCCTGAGACCCAGGTGTGTTCCCCAGCTCTTATAGCAAATTGTTGACAGAGCCAGGACCAAGACCTGGTGCCCTGACCCTTTGTCTGTACTCTCTCTGAATGGCATTTTTTTTTTCCACAATGAAACTATAAATTCCATAAGGGCAGAAACCATATCTGTCTCAGACATTAATTCAGCAAACTTAATGAGTATCTGCTAAGTGCCAGACTCTGTTGTAGGCCCCAGAAATAGAGCAGTGAAGTAGGCAGAAGGATGGCTGCTCACACGGAGCTTATCCTGTGCACTCAGATTGTGTTCCGTCTTGCTTACCCCTGCTTCTCTAGCCTTGGGCCTGGCAGGTGCTTCAGCAAAGTGATTGCCACGTGATACCGGCCCTGCATGTGGAGGGTTGCAATACGTAAACCACGTAATTCACAGAGTTTGGGATCTCTGTGGAGTCTGGTACAGAAGTCTGGTTTCAGAGATGACGCTGTGTGTGCTGTGTTTTTACTTGTATAGTTGCAGTACCTTTAACGATTCTACTTCTGAAAAAAAATAATAAAAGCCAAAGACAACAACTACAGCAATAAAGCTGCTTAGAGTTAGTCAAGATCCAGAACCCTGATGTGCTCCAATAGGCAAGCGAGCCCATTGTTTCCCAGCTTCTGCTCAGTTTTCTGTCAAAAGCAAGATCTAGTGCTAGAGAAATGGAAAACAGACCCACCTCTTTGTCACCCCATACCTGCTCTCCCCAGAGCTCTTTTTCCTAGGGAGGGGCCAACTCCAGAAGGACCTGGTTAGGCCAGGCTGAGCATTCTTGGTCAGTTTGAAGAATATGTGGGCCACCTCTTCCCCACTGAGTCCCGCCACAAAGCCTTTGTCCCGTCACTCCCAGCCTCTTGCTGTCCTGAGTTGCTGATCTCTTTGTTGAACAAAGCAAATCAGGAGTCTGAATGAGTGGGATTTTTACACAATCATTTTATGATCTTGGTATAAAGGAGTCGATGAGTCCTGTCTCTGAAGAAATCACTTCACTTTAAAAATTAACCCAAGAGGTGGCTATTTGTAATTCATCCTTTTCATAAGATTGCAGTAAAGGGGCGTCATGATATTGGGAATAAGCCTGGCTGTTTCTGTCAATAAGGTGGGGGTTTGTTTAGTCCTGAGATGTCTGTCTGTCTTTTTTTTTTTTTTTTT